GAAGAACAACGAATGTAGATGTAAATAAAACAAAATGAAAAAATTAAGGAAACGCAAATTAATTAAAATCGCGTGTAAATTTCTGCGATCCGGCGCGAATTCGGCTCCAAAGCCATAGAAATACTTCAAACTAACGAGTGGGCGCTTAGGCCGTTTTTATTTTCATGTTTTGTGGGAATGCGCGGCCTCCGAGGGATGTTGCAGAAGCAGCACAGCTGCGCCGCAAGTTGCATTTCTGGCGGGGTAGCAAGGAACTAGCGTGTTTCACGGTCCTGTATCTCCATTCCTGCGCACGAGGAAACCGCTACGCTTCGACAGCCGGGGGCTGATAGTCACATACGCCCTCAATTTGTGAGAGCGCACCATGTGTCTTTGAGGCAGAGCAATCGTATACATCAGTCCAGTTGTATGCTACACCTACTAGGCAGCTTCCAAGAATCTCGGGTCTAGGTTATCAAGAAACCTTCCTGGAACATACTTGAGCCGCGCCACTCTACGCGGACTACAATGTTGCGACTGGATGAGGTCTTCTCACTACACAATCTTCTTTTTACTTCTTATTACACACGACTCGCGCGCGGAAATAATGACTGGTCATGAGACCTTGGCACCTCAGGCTAACTCACTGCTTGAGCTTCCATCGAAAGAACGGTCGCCTGCAGCGACCGTTCTCTTGAGCCTTGAAGAGAAATCCCGCGATCGAGTTGAACGGGTAGTAGGTGCATGATCATGAACCAGTAGCCCACATGTAGCTTCCCAGTAGAGAAAGGACCGAAGAAAAACCTGGAGCTTTCTCAACAGGGACCATCTTAGCAGTGAAGGCCTTGGACGAGTTTTTCGAACGTCGTCAGACCCAATCAGCAGAATTCGACGACATCGATTCCCGGCAAAAATGCAGGAAATTAGTCTATGATGCTGCAGTCCACGCGATGTACGCACGCAAATCCGCTTTGAGCCGCTGCCCTGCAAAGTGGAAGTAATCGTGTTCGCAGTAATCATGCGTCTCCAGCTTCTTTATTTCGCCTATCACGATGCCAAATGCACGGAGGCATTTCGCACTCCATCCCAATCGGCTCTCTCCTGCCAGCAAGTCACACACGACCCCACCTTGTGAAATCTGACCACGTCTGGCCCTGATATCACCTTCTAGATTCAGCTCGTCTACAAAGCGGCATTTGTTCCCTCTGTAGACATACGCGCATCTGAATGTGACGATGATGACGTACGAAAAGAAAGCGAAAAGGCATTTGTCTTGTCTGGGACGCTGGCCACGTCAAACTTACTGTGATAATCCGCCTTCTTCTGAATGTCTTTGTTAGGGTCTTTCGAGTCTCACCTAAAAAGCAAGAGATTTGATAACCAACCTCAACTCGGAAACGAAATCTGAACTCGGTGCTTCCCGACTCGAAAGGCAGTC